AATGCAAGATGTCATGAGATCTAAGGAGGCCATGTGCGAGCTAAATTGCTTGGTCTATGTGATGGGATAACATCCGACACTAGCGTGATTTTTCATTGCATGTTGCAATCCTCGGTGCTTACTCGGCATTTGTTTACTGAATTTGATTGATAGTTGGAGTCACGATACTTTCCTTTGCACATTGAGTGGAACTACATTCCGTAATACCTCAGATAGAGCATGCATGCTTTCAGCTTTAGGATGAGACCTGCTTTTCGAGCAAAGAGATTTCAGTGTTGGTGTGAACAAGTAAGCCCTTGTCTAGTAGACGTGTATCGTCTTTGTACGCATAGCCAAGAATGCGCAACGAAAATGAAGCTGAATATGCCCTTGCATTCTAGGTCTATTTAATTCAAGCATTTACAACTGTGTGAATAACCCACACCCCGTTTCATGAAAAGCATTTTTATGCGAATTAATTCCTTCAGGGTTGAGGAAATTTACGACAGGTAATGAGAAAATTTCAAGCATTGGAGCAACGGCCATGCGAAATTAGGAAATAACCTCAACATAGGCCAAGTTCGTACGAAAGCCAACTAACAAGGCATGACGTTGAGCGAATCTAGGTCAAGTGCTTTATGTGGCAAAAAATCAATAAATATCGATTTGCCACCGCGACGATGTTTTGGGTCGAGCTGATTTCGGGTGAAATCGAGTGCACACGCCAATCTAGGCAAGAATTATATTTAATTCCATTAACACCCTGATAAGCTTTAATAACTTGCTGCAGTTTATCCCGACCTGTTAGATGCTCAATACAAACTCTTAACTCAACATCAAATTGTTCTCACATGCGTTGCACTGTGATTCAAAGCCAGTCAATTCATTTGTGTAAAATCTGAGAACTAAATTATATGCATGTGGGAAAACTGCATGGGCGACCATTAAAATTCATTCAAGCATGCCTTACAACCCTCGATAAACTGCCTCAAGCTTTTCCCTGATCAAACGCAACCCCATCAACAGTGCTAGCATCAAAGATCTCTTCCATTTTTTTCCAAGTCCCTTTAATGTGAATGCCATGTTGGCATTTTCAAAGTAGCCTTTTCTGGTGAGCAAGCAGTCACCCTCGCGAGCGCACTGCGGTCACCGTGGGAGGTGGGAAATGGGGAGGCGTTTCTTTCCACTTGCCAGATGTCAGATGTTTACTCGAAGCCAGCAAAGCTTGATGACATTTTAGGGAACCTTTAATCACCAAAGTCACCAACTCGTCCAATCTACATTTGATGATCGACACCCATGCCTACAGCATTATTGTGAATTGATCCTGCTTAAAATGTTAGACAAAGCAGAACAGAATTGCACAAGTGTAACTAGCAGTTTTTAGTGTAACTGCTCCCGATACATAGTCTTCCTGATTTATTGTGGTGGCTGATTTAAAGCAAAAAGAAGTTTGTTTTAAATTCAGTGGAATTGTTCGTAGCACTGGCGCCTGCTCTTGATCATTAAGTTTTCGATTTAATCAACCTTCGTCAAGATATTCCCTAACAATGCGGTTGTCAATTGTCGGCCCAAACGAATTCTAGATTATTGCCCTGTTTCACATGAAATGAGTTGATTTTGTAGTTACGCGCATTCAGTCTAAATACCAAATTGTCCTTGCGCCTAATTAACATCAAATTTATCCCTTTGATCCATGCATTTTCAAGACAATCCGGCTTCGTTCGACGCTTCAATTCAAACCGACTTTACGATCACTGCTTACTCTCTCCACTTCTCCACCACTTCTACGCGTGGCATCCATGGCTTTTCCACGAGTTAACGAACATTCTTTCATCAGTCCGTCTTGTCAACTTCTTCTTCTTCTTAGACATTGTGGACAGTCAGGAGGATGACAAAATGTTAGCAACTCAAGCATCCACAAACTCATAGCACACTTCGAAGAATCGCATATTTCACTTTACATTGATCGCTCACAAACCACAAGTCGAATGTAACCGCAACCATCCATGACTAGGAGCTCTTCCTATCTACATTTGGTGATCAACACCCATGCCTACAGCATTCTCGTGAATGTTCTTCGCTTAAACCACCCGCATGTCCGATCACTTGACAACGCGTTAACGCCTCGTGTATTGACCAGCAGTGACTGACCTCTGCCCTACTGACTGTCATTGACAGTTGTTTACCTAAAGTGCCACACAATGACACGCCGAAATGACGAGCATCGCTTGTCGCCGCCGATTGAGCGACCAGCCCTGCACACCCCATCTCACTCTCACTTCCTCTCTCTCCTCTCCTCTCTCTCTCTCCCTCTCTTCTGGGTATTTTAGATGTTCGTTCTGCTAAGCGCACATTCAATCCATTAAAGCGAACTCTAACCACCGACTGTTAACGTTGTGAAGAAGCGAGTCCTGGTGGAAGAACACTGCTTTTCTAGGTGCCAGTGTGGATTTCGGTTTTTGTGCAGTCTTGCCTGTCCTCTGCATGTAATCATAAACTCGAGGTCAATGCTGCATCGCCGTCCACCACTGATTGGCACGAAGGCCAGTGCAGTCTGACCCAGAAACTGACGCAGGCCACTTGTGAAGGAAGTTAAATAACGCATACTCTACATGGCATTTTGAAATATGCGTGAAATCCCCACACCAACTTTGTCTACTGTACAATTCGTGGTACCTTCGAAGGCAAAAATCTAATCCATTGCAACTCACATCAATGTGAATCACTTACTCCACCCAATTTCAGAGAAGACGGCTAGCATGCAACTGTGACGCGGCTTCACTCAACCGATAAAAAGGGGATCGACAAACAGCAGGACTGTCACAAATGTGTTCATTTTATTCAAATAATTCAAAGCATCACACCGATGTCAACAACGCCTTCGAGGCTCCGTGTCAATCCGCTAAGTAGACTCGTACTGACGCATCAAGATACCGTGGACAGTAGCGCCGAGTGCATCCAAGTTTTCCAGTCGACGGTGCAGGGATGCAGACTTGAAAACCAACACACAAACCATGACCACGTCAAGGTGAGCTGACTCTATGCCGATCAAAGTACAGCAAATTGCTGCAGAGACACCGTGAAGTCCTCAATGCTTAGCATTGTCACAAGAACTCTGATGGTCTTCTCACGACTCCCTGCTTGCATCCTCGATGACTAGCAACCGACAGAATGATGAATCCATTACATGCCCCGCATGTTGTCTCGTACCACACTTAGGGCCGCTGTCTGAATTGGCCCGTGTACGCTACTCAAATCACCGAGGAGACAAAGAAGACCAGTGGTGGCGGAGACACGTCCGTCTACCAGACACCTCAACCAAGCTGTATTGATCGCATCACTGTGCATATCCATGTGTCTTACTCAATTGGATTGCCAATCAATACGGTCTGGGCGAACCAATAAAACTACAAACTGATGAACGGTCAGATGAATGAATGAATGAATGAATGAAACGGGTATTGTGGGAGAAAGGCAAACGCGCAGGGTGTGTGGGCAGACGGTTTGGCAAGATGGAAGGGCTGCTGTGGAAAGGAGGGCACTGTGGCGTAGAATGCGACGACTGGGTTAATGGACGTGACTCAGCACGATTCACTACAAACCTATGTAGAGCATCAGGTGGCACGGAGATGGCTGAGCACGTTCTGGCTGGGCCCACGCAGAAAGTGCGCCACAGAGTTGGTTAATGGAGATTAGTTGTGGCAATATCAACACGAACCACCGAGTCACACTGTCCTACAAGTCGATTTTGTTCGGCAATGAACAGGACGTCAAGCAGGTGTCTCGCATTACCATGAAGTCATTCGACGATGCTTTCAAGGGTTTCGTGGTCGCATCCTCTACCGTCACTGCCACGTTCTCGTCACACTATTTCCAAAGTTCATATTTAGTTTTTTTCTCAATACTGGTGGCTAGTTTAAATCCAATTCAGATGTTTACCTACGAGGTTAGGAATCACGCCAGGTCAACGTGAATGACTTTCAATACAAAATTTTGCTGTAGCCTACCATGAAGTCGGTAGCCAGTTGTTTGATTTACTCACGACCACTTTCAACCGCTCACCACTCCTCTCTGTGGTGACATTTGCGCTGTTCTCTTTTCAATTCCTCCCCATGGTAACTTATGTTGCTCTCCTTTCAGTCTGTGATGATTCCCCAGTTTCGTAAATACCCACCAAAGTTTTTTTGTTTGTTTGCTATTTTGTGGCAGTAAAGAGCTGGCCGTACATCGGGTCGATAGTTTGACGCAGTCATCTAAAAGTTGTAGTAAGGCGACAGTGCGCACGCTGCCTTTCCTGTCAAGGCCAGTTTCATGCGGAATGTTTTGACTTTGTAAGCGCGTTCAGTGCCCTCTCAAGTAGCCAATCACATTTCAGCTCACAGCGACTGCCTCAGCCGCGTGGATGCATTTGCAGGCGCCGGTGGTAGTCCATCTACCCAATAACCGACCACAGTGTTTGCGTTAAGGCGCTGTTTGCGAACGCTAAAGATTATCAACATGCTATGCGCCCGGGGCTATAAAATGTGATGCAGACTGTGAAATGGTTGTCGTAAATTAGTGAGGGGATGGTTTTCTTAAGTTTTGGGCGGTTACCTGCACTGTGGTTTGCTTTCTTTATGATACGAGGTCGATTGTTTTATCAATGGAATTTTTCTTGACTTATTTTATTCGCAAATTCGAACTTGTGCGACTAAATCTGGTGTATCCATCACACATATGAGGTCTTCTGTAATTTTGCTTTTTACCAGATGCAGTTTTCCAGACCTAGAAGGCCACAAAGCTATTTTTAGCTATTCACGTGCAAAGCTGTGATTGGCCACCTGCGAAATTTGCATTAACCGCTGGCGCCAAACTGGCTCTGCGAATGAGCGTTATCTTAGCACCGCCGTGACAGACGCGTGATCTTCGTGTGAGAAGTGGGGCGAAAAGCTGCGTTTGTTCCTGACATTGATTGATGGCGTCTACATTGCTTAATGACTTGGAGGTAATTGCTAAAATCCTTCCAAGTGGCTGTTTTAACTCAGTAAGTGCTGCACTTGTGATTTTTAAAAGAAACGATTAGGGTCATTAAGCTCAAAGTTATCAATATCTACGACAATGATTTGAAATCACATTCACCCCTCAAAAACTATCGCTTCGTCACTAGAAGGCCTGCCGCTATCTTGCCAATGTACTCACCGATGGAAGGCGTTATACTTGATTTCCTGACCTTCCACCTGACTTGGAAACGTATATATTAGCAGTGTCGTTGAATAAAGCCACAAGATTGACCTCTTCAAACAAGCTTACCTTCGTGAAGTGCCGGCCCATTAATACATAAACTTTCATTGATTCAGTCGCTAGTTTATGGTTACTATGGGTAACCATATTGTCTTAAGGTTAACCTGTGACACTTGTTATGGAGAGCGTGATAACCGGTGAGTTATTAGAACGAAGGAAACATGAATCCCTTGCAGGCAATATGCAGTGTAATGAGGTAGAACATACGGACAGTTAAACAAGATCAAGGAATTTATTTAGGACACAAGAAAACAACGAAATTAATTTAAATTGACAAATGCTCTTAGACAACTCATTTGCTGGGTAAAAACTGATATTTTGAGGGATTTTAGCTATTATTTCCGAGGCCCCAAGCAGCGTACTCCCCCTAATCAGTTTTAGGTTTAAAGGTAGTCTTCGAACTCATTCTCACCACATTTACCACACGAATACCACACGTCTATCATGGCAATGCGAAAAAAGCTCTGAGAGCGATTTTGGCGCTAGCGGGTAATGCAAATTCCTCACGTGGCTAATCGCAACTTCGCAAAAAAATTATGTGGCCCTATAGGTCTCGTAAATTTCACTTGGTATTACGTACACCAAGATTAGTCACAAAGCCAAAACTGGTAAAATAAGCAACTTAGCGTCATCGAGAAGTCCAACCACAGAGTAGATAACAATTCGGAACTTTATTAACTATTGCTTAACCATCCCCACACTACTCTACGGAATCAAGTCCCAACGTTTGCAATACATTATTGGCTCATTCCAACACATCCACGGTTGCAGACCAACGTGACGCGCACGCAACCGGCCTTGTCGGGTTGCTAGACTACCACCGACGCCTACAAACGCATCCACATGGCCAAAAGGCAGTTGGTGCAAGCTGCAATGTGATTGGCTACTTGTGTGGAGGGGTAACGCGTTTGCGAAGCAAAATATCCCACGCGATGCTGGCTACGGCAGGAAAGCCAGCGGCCAAGTCCTCGCCTTACTACAGCGCTTAACCGACTGCGACAAAATATCGACCCGATGTACTGTCTGAGGCGATGGACCAGTTACTGCATATTTATTAAATTGAAAAGGGAACAGGGTAAATGTCACCACAGAGAGGAGTGGTGAGTGTTTGAAAGTGTCGCTGCGTTTAATGGTGGCAAATTTGCATTCGACGTGTACGTGGGTAAATCCAACAACCGGCTACCGACTTCGTGGTGGACTACAGCAAAAAATGTTTTGAAAGTCATTCACGTCGCCCTGGCGTGATTCCTACCCTCGTAGGTAAACATCAGAATTGCATTTAAACTAACCATCCAGTATTGAGAAAAAACTAAATATGAACTTTGGATCGAGAAGTAATCGGTAAAAACTACTCTATCATTGCGAAAAACCACTGCGAGGGGGTCTTCACCTCCTGTTAAAACATGTCGGCAATGCATATCCTAGGTGCACCTGAAGTAAGTGCAGGGGATTTTATGATTCCCTAGAAAACCTTAATGCTGCTGCCTGATCACCAACTCCTCTCAATACGCTGCATGTGGTCACCTGTATTAGGAAGAGAGTAAGTGTCTGGTGATTGATTGTGTTGAGATAGAACCAAGCGTGGCTGAGTCGTCAATAAGGCATTCGTCAGAACGTATTGCTGAACCTACTTCTACCTCGCGTTCAACGATGCTCGTCGAAGTTACAGCATCTTGTATGTGACAGTAGGAGCACTGAATATCGCGGCCCTGCCTTGACTCGCTCCAATGGCTCATGGGTCACAAATAAGTGATTTGCGATCCCGTTGGTTCTAAACAAGATCGCCACTGTTTTCTCCACTTTGATGAGGGCCACAGACGCACTTACAGCGCTCTGAAAACCCCGTCCTGTATATTATTTTTGAATTTACTGATGTTCCAGCCGGTCTTCCTCTCCGAACGACAGCGACACCATTTCGGAGGAGATTACACGCACTAGGAATCAAAGCAGACAACCACGGTATTTGGGCATCCACCAGTTGGCTGTGGCACTTGTTGAAGTAGCCTTTTGTTGATCTAGTCATAAATCACATCTACCGTTTCGGAGAATCCTAGACGATGGTGGAGCCTTCGATTGAATTTCAGGAATGGGAGAAAGCGCTTCCCTTCCTCACTGACCAAACGGACGGATAACTCTTTCTGCTAAACCGCCACATCGACACGCTCTGTCTACGCATCTTCCTGTTCGTGAGCGCCACCGGTCAATCGCACTTGCGTCATAAGGGTTTCCTCCACTGAGAGGCTGTGTCGGGGGCGATGTCATGGCGCTGCCTATTCACTGTACATCACTTCACCAGAAAACGCACCAATAACACAATGAGGGACATGCTAAGGTTTGGTAGAACAATTAAACCCTGAAATTGAGCCCTAGTCGTATCGCAGAATGCACTGGCCACTGAAGTACCGCATTTTGCTACTTGGACTTTATCATAGCAAGTGTTGAAACACATTTAACCTTGCGAAGTCTGCCTGATCACAACTGCTCTCACTAAACTCTTTCTGCACACCCGTATTCGGAACGACCTAAGTGTCCTGATGATCGTGATGAGATGGAACCCAGAGTTTGGATGTCATCGATTAGCCCTGACACAACCCATTGCCTCGTGGACCATCAGAAGAGGATCCGGGGTCGCGCTGATTCTGAACAGGACCGTCATTGATTTCTCTACTCTGAGCGTCATGGTATGCCAGTGTAGGGCTTCATGCGATGCGTGCTTTCACTACCAATTGGTATCCAGAGTGGTCTCACCCTGAAAGATAAGAAATCGACAGTTGATTTTTCGTTCTGTGAAGGTGACTGGTCAATGGCCCATATCCACCTGCAAACAAGTCATTGAGTAGTCACTCACAACACCCCATCACAAGGGCAATCATTAAAATTAATCCCATTACTACGAAACGCCTTTAGTCTTATCGCGGTGAGTGCTGTAACTCATTTCAGCCGATGCAAAGTCTGAGTAGAGTTGGGAACACCAACCCGACACGAACAAAACCTGACTGATTAGTGAGGAACCAATCATTGTGTGCAGGAGAAAGTAATCGACCTCGTTGACCTTGTAAATGCTGAGGATGTGTTGGAATTAACATTCAAGTGTTTGTATCAGTCAGTTGATCCCACCTAGTGTGGTCTGACAGTAGAGGATGCGACCACGAAACCCTTGAAAGCATCGTCGAATGACTTCATGGTAATGCGAGACACCTGCTTGACGTCCTG